TGGTTTTTCATTTCTTTTTAACGAGGGAAAATTGTATTTTTAGTCTCGCTGGTTTAACGCAGTAATATTTTTAGTCTCAAGATTTTAAGTTTTTATCTTTCAATATTTTTCTGCAATTTCGGTCTTTTGGGACTGAAATTGCAAAAAAAAATTAAAATTACATGACTTAAATTGCTAATAAAAAATACATCCAAAAGATTTTTTATTAGCAATTTAAGTCGTGTAATTTCAAAATTTGTTGCATTTTTAGTCCCAAAAGACTGAATTCTAAAATTATAGGACCAAATAGTAAAAATGTTCAATTCTTAAGACTAAAAATGTCACTTGATCAAACCAACAAGACTACAATTCCAATTTTGCTTTTTTAACAATTCATTCCTTAAGATCTATTGAATTAAACCATGGTTTGATGCTACCAAAAGATAATTTGCTTTATTTTACTCAAAATATGGTTATTTATAATGTTTTTCACATATATTATTTCATAATACTAAATTTTACTCGTCTCAAAATGAGATATATAACACATTAGTTCTCTTCACATTGCCTAAAAATTCACAGTACTTTTCTTTACACATTGCCCAAACCATTCATAATTTTTAAATAGCATGTTCATGTAACATTATCATAGCCAGATTAAATAAATTTTGATTAAATAAATTTTGCTCTTCAATACTGAAAATCTAAATGGAATTAAATAATATTTCACTAGATTTGACTTGGTGTTACCAACCAGATCTGAATAAAATAAAATCAAATCAATTATCAGAATAAAATAAAGTGCAACATGTGCTTTGAATTAAGTACTCGAAATAATCTATCCTGAAATAAACTACTCGAAAATTGTAGCTCATTAAGAAACCCACGTTGAATGGAGACATTCAACAACATCGTGATTATACGAGTGCTAGTTAAAAAAAAAAAAAATCATACTGATTTTTTTTTTTACAAAAAATTGTAAGTGAAATGTTTTTTTATTAAATTACAAATATTATTAAAAAAATTGCATAATGAAATAAGAGAAAATCTTTATTTTTAAGCATCTATTATTTTTTTAAAAAAATTACCTTATTATTTATATTTAACATGAGACTTTTGACTTGTACATAAGACACTAATCAGGCATCTTTTGGCAAACGATGCTCTCCTTGAGATAGGGGTTTGCCACAAAATGCTGCAACATAGGCTGCTGTTTTCTCCATGCTCACTATCTGCTTAACCTGTCCTGTTATGTGTCGGCACACGCACGGCAAGTCGACATCTTTCACAACATTGCAACATTCTTGGGACAGGCTTTCTCTGCAGCCCGTTTTTTGAACATACCTCGAGCATTGCTGCATATATAAGGCCTTGAAAGTTACCTTCGCATTGTGCCATAACCACCGTAGTGGCGGTGAGTACCACCGGATAGGATAAAAATAGGGCAAGACCGGTTTTGGATATCTTCGACATTAAGTTTAAACTAATGAACACGTGTATGACAAAACCAACGAACCGTTGGACCAAATACAGATGCAGTTTCACATAAAAACTGAAAATTTGGTGCCATCAGAGTAAATTCATAATCAACCAATAATATCAGGAAGTGAAAGACATGAAAAAATGTGAACTCTGAACATTGTATAGTTTATATAATACACAAGTTTGCTGGGAATATTCTGAACAGGAGTTGAGAAAATTACATCCAGAGTTTAACGGTGACGAGCAAGAACTTTTGTTTGAATCCCAACTGCAGAGTTTAATCAATTGTAAACCATATATTTTGGAGTCGCGCTGAATTTCTGATAACCTTTGATAACTTTATTGACAGCATCTAAGAAGTCTTTCTCGGTCACAGTTTTCCTCCTTGCTCGAATAGCATACATTCCGGCCTCGGTGCATACACTTCTAATGTCAGCTCCTGGAGAAAAACACCCGTGCAAAATCAACCAATTGCCGGATAATAACCACCATAATGCATCGTAAATGGAAAGGGATATCACAAAAAATTATCCTAAAGTTTAGTCTAATTCCAAGAATCTCAAGTTATCTCTCAAAATTATAATTGCACGGATATTGTTTCTATTTACACTGTGCACCCTCGTCAGGTTGATTATTGATAGAGTTTCAACTTCAACCGTAATTTTTGTAATTATCACAGATGAATGATCCAAAAACAAGAACTATAACGTTTGCAGCAGCTTCTGTGCAAGAGAAAAAATATCTTTACCAGTTGAATTTGGGCAGAGCCGAGCAAGAAGCTCAAAGCGAATATCCCTCTCGCAATTCATTGTTCGCGTATGAATCTTGAAAATCTGGGTCCTACTTTCTAGATCCGGCAATCCGAATTCCACTTTCCGATCCAGTCTTCCAGGTCGTAAGAGCGCCGGATCGAGAGTATCAGGTCTGGAAAATAATGAAAACCATAATGTTCCATTCTCAACAGTTGAAAGAATAATTGAAAAAGGAAAAAGTACAAGTCTATGTTGATAATTAAGAAGGATCATTTGCTATCTGACAATTGGTCAAGCCTCTCACCTGTTGGTTGCCATTAAGACTTTAATATTCCCACGAGCATCAAATCCATCAAGCTGATTCACAATTTCAAGCATGGTACGCTGGACCTCATTGTCCCCACCAACTCCATCATCAAACCTTGCACCTCCAATGGCGTCTACCTCATCAAAAAATACAATGCAGGCTTTTTTAGAACGTGCCATCTGCCACGAAAAAGAATTAATTCTTGTTAATATTAATAGAACTTTCAACAATTAGCAAATACAGAAAAACAAATCCAAGAGTGAGAGTATTGGACCTGGAATAGTTCACGAACCATACGAGCTCCCTCACCAACATACTTCTGGACAAGCTCACTCCCAATAACACGAATAAAACATGCATCAGTTCTGT